TCCTCCTCCTCCTCCTCCTCCTCCTCCTCCTTTTCCTCCTCCTCCTCCTCATCATCCTCTTCCTCCATCTCCTCCTCCTCCTCCTCCTCTCCTCCTCCTCCTCCTCCTCCTCCTCCTCTCCTCCTCCTCCTCCTCCTCCTCCTCCCTCTCCTCTCTCCTCCTCCTCCTCCTCCTCCTCCTCTCCTCCTCCCTCCTCTCCTCCTCTCCTCCTTCCTCCTCCTCTCCTCATCCTCCTCCTCCTCTTCCCTTGTTCCTCCTCCTCATCTCCTCTTCCTCCTCCTCTTCCTCCATTCCTTTTCCTCGTAAACAAGAGACACGCGTGCCAAGGATCATACAATCACGGATGTGGGACACTGGGAGATGGAGGTGGCGCCAACCTGGGCAGTTTCGGGGAAGCGCGCGAGTGCTGCGACACGCTGAGCTATGGCGTGAAGAACTTGTTGTCACTGTGAGCTAGTGGCGTCTCTATGATCTTCGGGGCCATGGTGCTATTGGGCGTCTCTGGGGCTTATTGGTGGTCTTGTGTGGGCCCGTGTGGGGTTTTTTGGGCTGTCTTGGGTTGGCTCATCGTGGGGACGGGGGGCGCCAGGGGCACGACTGGAGCGGGGGGGGCACGATCGGTCGGTCGGATAGGCAGGCGGGGGGGCCACGGGGCGGAAGGGCGGGACAGGGAGGGGGGGCACGGTCGGTCGGGCGGGGGCAAGTGGCGGAAGGGGGGGGGGAGGCACGGTCGGTCGGTCGGTCGAATAAGCAGACGGGGGCCACGGGGCGGAGGGAAGCGGCAACGTCGGTCGGTCGGTCGGAATTAGCAGACGGGGGCCACAGGGCGGCGGGGCGCGGGGGGGAGCAGGCGGGCGGGAGAGAACGGTCGGGCAGAGGGGGGGACGGTCGGTCGGTCGGGGAGCGGAAGGGGGGGGGGGCACGGTCGATCGTCGGTCGGAAGCTGACGGGGGCCACGGAGCGGAAAAGGGGGCACACTCGGTCGGCCGGTCGGAATAAGCAGGCGGGGGCCACGGGGCGGAGGGGGGGGACACGGTCGGTCGGTCCGTCGGAATAAGCAGACAGGGGCCACGGGGCGGAAGGGGAGGGCACTGTCGGTCGGTCGGTCGGAATGAGCAGACGGCGGCCATGGGGCGGAAAGGAGGGGCACGGCCGGTCGGTCGGTCGGAATAAGCAGACGGGGGTCACGGGGCGGAAGGGGGAGGCACGGTCGGTCGGTCGATCGGACTAAGCAGACGGGGGCCACGGGGCGGAGGGGAGCGGCACGGTCGGTCGGTCGGTCGGATTAAGCAGACGGGGGCCATGGGGCGGAGGGGGGGGGGCACGGTCGGTCGGTCGGTGGGAATAAGCAGACGGGGGCCACGGGGCGGAGGGGTGCGGGGGGGGGTGCAGAGCACGCGGGGGCGGCACGCACCCAGGCCACACCCGAGCACGTATTTCCAACACACGAAGCCAGCACACATCCCAGCACGTATCCCGGCACACGGAGGCAGCACACAGCCCTGTACACATCCCAGCACACGAAGACAGCACACGTCCCAGCACAAATCCCAGCGCACATCCCAGTCCCGCGCGCATCCCAGGCACGGTCGGTCGGTCGGCCGACGTAATGCAGTGCGAGATCATACCAGTAGGTATGATCATAACTTCTCCCTGTCGCACTCCAGGGCACCATTTACGACCCTGAAGCTTAAAATTGGCAACAGCTTCACAGATGGAGGGCGGGTCGTTTTCAAAGTGTGGCTCTCACCTTAGCGCCGCGCACATTCGTTTCAAAAAAATCAAGAGCTTCACGGATTGAGGGCGAATCGTTTCCAAAATGTGGCTCTCGCCTTGGCGCCGCGCACATTCGTTTGAAAAATGTGCAAGAGCTTTACGGATTCAGGGCGGCTCCTTTTCAAAATGTATCTCGCCTTAGCCCCGCGCACATTCGCTTATAACAGTTGCAAGAGTTTCGCTGATTTCCATGATCAACGTACCAGAAATGGTGTTAGGAGGGATTCAGGACGATGCGGGCGCAACAGTTACGTTGATTCGCGGTGTTGGAGTCCCAGGAATGGCGTTCTGGCACAATTCAGGATCGTTAAGACGCAACAGTCAGGTTGATCCGTGGCGTTGGAATCCCGAGAACAATGTTTTGGCATGCTTCAGGGTATTCAAACGGCTGTCTTCCAACGAAGCAGTTCCCGCAATGGAAATGAACCGTTGTAGGGGCCTGTACAAAAGGAGCTTGGAGTGAGGGTGTCTTACAACATGGATGATGACTCTTGGGTTTACACTGGTCCTCCTCCTACTCCTCCTCCTCCTCCTCCTCGTCCTCGCTCCTCGCTCCTCGCTCCTCGCTCCTCGCTCCTCGCTCCTCCTCCTCCTCCTCCTCCTCCTCCTCCTCCTCCTCCTCCTCATCATCATCATCATCATCATCATCATCATCATCATCACCATCCTCCTCCTCCTCCTCCTCCTCCTCCTCCTCCTCCTCCTCCTCCTACCCCCAAGATGGTCCCAGGAGGTTTTTAGAAGACTCGTAAGACAAATTGCAGGGACATCGACGAAGCTGCCTATACAATTGTTTCCGCTACTTTTGCGCCCCCTCTGGTACGCTTCCAAGGCGGCTGTGCAACTCGGTGTTTCCACGCGCTCCTACAACAGGCTTCCAAGACGGCTGTGCAACTCTGTGCTTCCAAGGCTTCCACGAACATCCAACAACCACGAATAACAATAGGATACCCTCCCCGAACCGACCACGATCTTGTACCTCAGTCCGACTGTGGAGGCTTTGAGACGTGTTCGGCCCGTCTTAGGGGATTCCCGAAGCCTCCGAGGTCAGAGACCTCTCCCAAGACCTCGTGGGACCTCGGGGGGGTGCAGAGACCGTCGGAGAAGAGAGGGAGGAGAATGATGTGGATGGGGAGGAGGAGGAGGAGGAGGAGGAGGAGGAGGAGGAGGAGGAGGAGGAGGGGGAGGAGGAGGAGGAGGAGGAGGAGGAGGAGGAGGAGGAGGAGGAGGAGGAGGAGGAGGAGGCAGAGGAGGAGAAGGAGGAGGAGGAGGAGGGAGGAGGAGGAGGAGGATGGGGAGGAGGAGGAGGAGGAGGAGGAGGAGGAGGAGGACGAGGAGGAGAAGGAGGAGCAGGAGGAGGAGGGTGAAGGGGAAGAGCAGCAGGAGGAAGACGAAGAGCGTAAGCGGAAGGAGGAAACAGAATGAGCAGCGCGAGCACGCAGGGGAGGAGGACAGGGAAAGAAGAAACGATAACATATCGACTAGTATTGCGCGGGGCATGTCGCAACGGCGTCGGCGATGGAGATGGCCTGCGGCCGAGCTCCTTGTACTTGCCGGAAAACTCAACGCACTTCAACAAGAACAACGTGTTCGCGCCCAAACCTGTCCGAACAGACGCTAAGCAGACTGAAGGGATGGATGCGTTCAGACACATCATGAAAAAAACTATGGGCGATAACAGGTCACCAGAAGCTTTTGGATGAAGGCAAACATCGCCCCCTGCAGACCGTACCCATGAGATCGGGCGCCGACAAGGGAGAACAGACAGCGCCAATACACGGTCCAAGCCACTCCAGGAGAGACCCAGCCACTCCCCAAACAGTCCAGGGCACTCTGGAGGGCAAGCGTTGGAAGAATGTACATCGCCATCAACATGGTCGTCGCCGTCGTCATCGCCCTCACGGCAGACACCAGCATCAATTTGAGTTTGCCAAGCTAGTTTCGGGTGGGACGTTGGAGCTGACGACTCCAAGGCCATCGAACATTAAGTCTTCTCCTGTGCAAGACGTAGCCCCCCACCACCACCCCACCCCACCCATCCACCCACCCACCCATCCCAAGCCCCCATCCCTACCCACCTTACCCCACCGAAGCTGGGTCATCCCCCCCCGCGAAATTCTACCTCATTGAATATATATATATATATACACATACATACATACATACATATGAATATAATACATATATACATATATAAACATATACATATATATATATATATATACATATATGTATACATATATATATATATACATACACATACAAGACTGCATTGGCGCATCGCGCCATGCACTTTGGTCCTTTGAGTTTCGCGTGCAGGCGGCGTGCGTGCGCGTGTACACTCGCGCATGAATACGCGCATACAAATGTACACGCGCACGCGCATGCACGCTGTATATGTACATGTGTATATATATACAGTTGTAGAATGTGCACTGTTGAGGTGTTGATATGAACGTTGCTGTACCCATATGTACAACGTCGAACGATGGATGCGCACACACATGTCTACGCGTACACACATGCACGTATGCATGCATGTACACGTACACGTGCACGCGCTGGCCCGCGCAGGGAGCAACGCATAAATCCGCCGGCCACACGAGCCAGATGCGTGCCAAAAGCTCTGGTAGCGGGCCTAGCAAAGGTTCTGGCACATGCCCACGGGGCGCCCCCCGGAAGGTGCCCGGTCCAAGAATACCCCGGGCACTACTGCTCAAAAACCTCGAACAACGATGAAGGGCGCAGCGAAGTGTGATAAGCATTGCGAGTTGCAAAACTCCGTGAACCAATGGGGACTTGAACGCATACTGCGCTTTCGGGATATCCCTGAAAGCATGCCCGCTTGAGTGTCTACTATGTATCATTCCAGTTTCTGGCCTGTCCTGAACGCTTGTGTGTTTCTGTGTGCAAGAACTCCTGGGGCCCGTCCTCAAGGCTCTCAGGATCGTGTCAGAGGGCCCCAAGCGGCCTCCAGTACGGTCCAAGGTGTCCGAGACGCCCGATGATCGCTCCAAGACCGCCCAAGATAGCCTCCAGAAGGCCCAAGAGGCCTCCGAGACGCCCCAAGAGGCATCCAAGAGCACTTCCAAGAGAGCCTAAGAGACAAAAATCTGGGCCTCTTGGGGCGTCGCAGGGGCGCAGGGGGAGCCACTGGGAAGATCCTGCGGCGATTTTGAGGCGGTAGGTTCGACATGTGAGTTCGTGTTCCCTTTCCTCGGCTTCTTTGGAGCCGTATTAACGCTGTCTTGGCCCGTTTGATCGTGTTGGGGGCCGTTTTGGCATTCTCTTGGGCCATCTAAGGGCCCTCTTGGCTCGTTTTGGCAGCCTTTGCGGAGCTTCGTAGGCCGTCTTGAAGCCCGCATGGGTCGTTTTGAGCCGCTTTTGGAGCGGTTTTGGGCATTTCTTCGGGCGTCTTGAAGCGTGGGAGCGAAAGAAAACGAGGACGTCGAAATCCTTCAAAAACCAAACGGAAAAGGACGATTCTAAGCTATGTGGGCTTAATCCAGAGGCCTCGTGGAAGTGTGTGGGTGCGTTTTCAACGCATCTTGGGCAGTTTCGTGTGCTTTGGAGCTGTCGAAGAACTATCTTGGACAATATTGGAGGACTCTTTGGACCCTCCGAAGAGGACCCGAAGGCCGAAGGAACCCTTCGCAAGGGCGTCCGAGCAGCCCAGGGAGGCTTCCGAGCAGCCCGGGGAATCCGAAATTCATTTGGGGGGGCCCTGTCCGGGGTCCCCAGCCCTGTTAAGATATAAACGTAGGAAAACCATGCACGATCGCTCATCCGAAAAAAAGGCATGCCAGTCAGGCCAGCATCGAACACCCCTCCCATATCGGACACTACTACTATGTGCACATGCATTGATCTAAGAAGTGCTGGATGTTCTAAGGATACCCTGAAAGCAAAAAGCAAGCTAGCTATAAAAAACACGCGGCCACATGCCCGCGCCGCGGCGCGCGCGCATGTCAAAATCATGCACGATACCTCTGGCATCAGAACAATGTCAGGACATAGCCACCTCCAAACTATCGAAAACTTGTGGCTGCTCAACACAGACCTGCCGGAACCTTGCGCGCGCGGGCCACTTGCGCGCGCATGTCGAAGATGTTCAGCCATCATCTCGCGCCCACCGACCCTGTCGCAATGCAGTGCAGGCCACGCTGGCGCCTCCGCGCGCGCGTCGAGATGTTCCTAAAGCCACCGGTTTTTAGCGATTGCGGCACAGCGGTCTTCAACAGCATAAGATCATCAATGGCTTTGAAGAAAACTCAGGGTTTCTGGTTTGCTGCGGGCGCGCAGTTCTTCATCGTCCTCATCATCACACTCGTCATCATTATCGCCACAATTGTCTTCGTCATCGTCATCATCACCGTCGCCGTCATCATCACCGCGGCCGTGATCATTGTTATCACCGTTTTTGTTTCCCCCATTCAATCTCTGCGCGCGGGCACGTCGTCATCATCATCGCCAGAATCATCGTTGCCACCATCATTGTTTGCGCCATTAAGTTCATTATCACCACCATCGTCGTCGTCGACATTACATCTTGCCCATCACCACTGCCATCACCATCGGCTTCGCCATCATCACCACTATCATCGCCATCGTCGTGGCGCCGCAGCCGTCACCATCGCAGCCACCAATTCGCGACGCACGACGGACTTGTCTGCGCGGTTGGATTCCAAACGCTCACGCGCTGGTCGAGGTCATGGCCAGACGAGATTTGACAACAAGTTGAGGGTGGGAGGCGGAGCGTTTGCACGAGAACAGGAGATGGCGACTGCCATGTCCACAAATAAACTCTCCCCTCTAGAAAAGAATTTGGACTTAACCCCCTACGAAGGCAGGACTTGACGGTCACCCCTTAGATACTGTGTTCCTCCTATCTATTCTGCGCAATCGCTTATTCTAAAAACAAAGAATCGCATGCTGGTCGAGCCTGCCTCGACCACCCCTCTCCCGCCATCTCCTGCAAAGCCTGCTACGAAATGCGTGCGATATTGTTGAACCCTTCGGAATAGATCCAGCGCGGGCAGGCTCGCGCGCCGTCGCGCGCGCGTCAAAAAGTCATGAACACCATTCGTGTTCAAAGACATTAAAAATACAGCAACGACAAACTAACAAGGGGCAATAGTTGCTCGACCAGACAGTTGCCCGAATTCCGCGTCCGCCAGAATACAGTCAGCCACAATCGCGCGCCCACCAACTCTGTTAAATAATGCAATGATGGTCACACGTAGGCGTGTCCGCACCTGCGCGTCGAAATGCATCCGAAAGCATGTCCTGCTGAGTTCAACACCGAAGCGTTGGTAAACATATGCAAGCCACAAGGTTTCCAATAAAAGCATGCCATGATATGAATGGCTGCGGGCGCGCACTCCCTCATCATCCTCATCAATATAATCTTGACCATCAACACCAACGTCACCATCGCTGTCGTCGGTATCATCGCCGCCACCGTCATGATCGTCAAAGTCGGTGTCGTCGCCCTTCTCAAATTTCTGCGCGCGGGCACTTCCTCACCATCACATCACCAGCACAATCGTCATCATCGTCGCTAGCGCCATCGCTGCCACCGTCAATATCGTCACCATCAGCTTCATTACCATCACCATAGCCGCCGTCGACGTCACATCGTCCCCATTTCCACTGTGATCGCCATCCACGTCAGCGTCATCACCACTGCCACCATCCGCGCTGGCGGCGTGGTCGTCACAATCACCACCACCACCATCTCGCGACCTGCAGGACGGACTCGTTTGCGCGGTTGACTTCCAGGGCCCGTGCGCTCGATGAGGTCATGATCAGATAAGCTTTGCCAACAAGTTGCGGATCAGAGTGGGATGTCTGCACGCGCCCTGGAGTTGACGACTCCAAATTACCCAGAATAAATTGCACCACGTAAACTGGGCCGCAAAGATTGTACCACATAGGTCGTACCGCAGCCCCCAGTGGGACCGTCCGCAGGCGTCCCGGAAACCCAATTTGGCATTTTCACCCTCCCAATTCAGCGCTTCGTGGCCCCATAGGGAGTTCCACCGAAACCCCCAGTGGCATTTTCACCCACCCAGTGCAGCGCTTCGTGTCCCCACAGGGAGCTTCACCGACGGCCCCAGTGCTACCGCCCGCATGCGGCCCATATGGGAGCTTCACCGAAGAGGATATTCAAGTGCATATGGTTGGGTCCTTCGCCTGGATAAGGTCCTGGCCTCGACACGTGCGCGCTTGTGGCCCGCATGGTGTTGTTATTTGCAGATCCATTGATCTTGCATGTGTGAGATCAAAGGCCGAGCTCCTGGTAGGATTAGTTGTCCGGGATGAGGAAGGTGGACAAGGGGCTGTGTAGCATTAGTATTATTTGATTTCCAGTATGAGCGGTCGTGCGAAATCAATATGCAAACCCAATGCGCGGAGCTTCCTAGGGGGTCCCGGAACGCTGTGCTGGGTGGGTGAAAATGCATTGGGTTTCCGGGACGCATGCGGACGGTCCCACTGGGGGCTTCGGTGGAGCTTTTAATGGGGCCACGAAACGCTATACTGGGTGCGTGAAAATGCCAATTGGGGTGTGCGGGACGCATGCGGACGGTCCTACTGGAGGCTTTGGTGGAGCTTCCAATGGGGCTACGAAATGCTGTACTGGGTGGGTGAAACTGCCAAATTGGGAATGTGCGACGCATGTGGGCGGTCCCACTGGGGTCTTCGGTGCAGCTCCCTATTGGGGCCGCGAAACGCTGTACTGGGTAAGTAAAAATGACAAATTGCGCGTGCGGGCCGCATGCGGGCGGTCCCACTGGGGGCTTCGGTAGAGTTCCCTGTGGGGCCACGAAACGCTGTGCTGGGTAGGTGAAAATGCCAAAGTGGGCGTGCGGGACGCATGCGGGCGGCCCCACTGGCCACGAAACGCTGTACTTGGTGTGGTAGACGCATGTGGCCACCCCCACTGGGGCCTCCGATGGAACTCACTATGGGGCAACGAAACGCTGTACTGTGTGTGACGGACGCATGTGGCCACCCCCACTGGGGCCTTCGGTGGAGCTCCCTATGGGACCACGAAACGCTGTCCTGGGTGGGGGGGACGCATGTGGCCACCCCCAGTGGGGCCTTGGGTGGGGCTCCCTATGGGGCCACGAAACGCTGTACTGGGTGTGGCGGACGCATGTGGCCACCCTCACTGGGGCCTTGGGTGGGGCTCCACATGGGGCCACGAAACGCTGTATTGGGTGTGGCGGACGCACGTGGTACCCTCAATTGGGGCCTTACGTGGAGCTCCTTCTGGGGCCACGAAACGCTGTATTGGGTGTGGCGGACGTATCTGGTACCCCCACTGGGGCCTTACGTGGAGCTCCCAGGCCACGACACGCTGTACTGGGTGTGGCGAACTGGGGCCGTACGTGGAGCTCCCTATGGGGCCACGAAACGCTGTACTGGATGTGGCGGACGCATGTGGTACCCCCACTGAGGAAGAGACGCGGGGACCGTTTCTTCAACACGAGGACCCAACACCACACGATGGTTGGGAAATTAGCCTGGCGAAGGACCCAACCATATGCAGTTGTGAATACCGCAATTTTGCTGGGTGGTGGCGGACGCATGAGGGCGGTGCCACTGGGACCTTCGGTGGAACTCCCTATAGGGCCACGAAACGCTGTACCCGGTGGGTGAAACGAAGGGAGCAAGGACTGTGCTGGGTGGTGGCGGACACATGCGGGCGGTGCCACTGGGACCTTCGGTGGAGCTCCTTTTTTATGGGGCCACCAAACGCTGTACTGGGTGGGTGAAACGCAGGAAGCACGGGCGGTGATGGGTGGTGGCATGCGGGCGGTGCCACTGGGACCTTTGGTGGAGCTCCCTATGGGGCTACGAAACGCTGTACTGGGTGGGTGAAACGCAGGGAGCAAGGGCTGTGTTGGGTGGTGGCGGACGCATGCGGGCGGTGCCACTGGGACCTTCGGTGGAACCCCGTATGGGGTCACGAAACGCTGTACTGGGTGGGTGAAACGCAGGGAGCAAAGGCTGTGCTGGGTGGTGGCGGACAAATGCGGGCGGTGCCACTGGGACCTTCGGTGGAGCCCCTCTTTATGGGGCCACGAAACGCTGTACTGGGTGGGTGAAACGCAGGGAGCACGGGTTGTGCTGGGTGGTGGCGGACGCATGCGGGCGGTGCCACTGGGACCTTCGGTGGAGCCCCCTTTGGGGGCACGAAACGCTGTACTGGGTGGGCGAAACGCAGGGAGCAAGGGCTGTGCTGGGTGGTGGCGGACGCGTGCGGGCGGTGCCACTGGGACCTTCGGCGGAGCCCCCTATGGGGCCACGAAACGCTGTACTGGGTGGGTGAAACGCAAAGAGGAGGGAGGAGGGGGAGGAGGGAGGGGGAGGAGGAGGGAGGCGGAGGAGGAGGAGGAGGAGGAAGGAGGAGGAGGAGGAGGAGGAGGAGGAGGAGGAGGAGGAGGGACGCAGGGACCGTCTCTTCAAAGCGAAGACCCAACACCACGGGATGGTTGGGAAAAGTCCACAAACTCAGATTTCATCAGCTACAAAGCTGCCAGATGCGCGCGCGCACCTCCTGACATCATCAAAAAATCCGATGCTTGCCTCCCTGTCAGTTCAAGACCATTGTTCCCCCAGTATGCATTAACATAAACGGGGTCTTACCTTGACATGAGGACTCCGTTCTTGGAAGCCTCTGCAGGCGTTACTGTTGCGGTTGCTGCTGATGTCGACGGTGCTGCTCATGTGATTGATAGGCTGTCAATATTGGTCCCCGAATATGCTTAAGCACATGGCGTTCTTACCTGGTCATGAGAATCATAATGCATAATCCGAGGCATCTGCCGACCTTGCCCTCCCTATCCAGCTGTCACACATCACTGTATTAATAATCCATGTGTATATGTAAATGTGTGTATATATAAATATAAATATATATATATATATATATATATATATATATATTGTTGATGGTGGTGCGTTTATACATGCTGGCGTGGATGTTGTTCAGAAACTATGCTATGTTCCTATTGTTGTTACGCAATGTTGTCGTTGGTGTGGTTTGTTCTTCTGGCGTGGAGCCTTGCCCTTCTCCAGCTCTCATGTCTTAAAGCTTATTGCTGATAATTGTAACGTTCGGAAGTGCTATGTCTGCGGGTGTGTATGTCATTCAGCTCTCACGCTGCCGTGGCTCTCGAAAAATAATGCTGGCCCTCAGAACAATGACGCACCTCCCAGCGGGTCGAGGCCTCTGCTAGCCGTGTGCCCCAGTTGCGGCCCGGGGCGCCGTAAGGAAAGTGGCGACCATCACGAGGATGGCGCCCCCACGATGGCGCCCCCTCCCCAGCGGGCCAGATGCATCTGCCAGCCCTGTGCTCTGCTTGTGGGTTGGGCCGCCGTGGCCCTTGGAGAAAGTTGCGACCCTCACAGAGATGTCGCCCCTCCCGAAGGCCGGAGACCTTTGCAGGCCCTGCGCCCCAGTTGTACGCCGGGGGGGGGCGCCCTGGCCCTCGAAAAATGGCGACCCTCACAACGATGGCGCCCCTCCCGGTGGGCCAGAGGCCTCTGCGGGGCGCCGTAGCCCTTGGAAACTAGCGCTAGCGACCCTCGCGAAGATGGCGCCCACCCCCTGTGGGCCAGAAGCCGCTGCTGGCCATGTGCCCCAGTTGTGGGCCAGGGCGCCACGGCCTCCGAAGAACGGCGACCCTCACAAAGGGTGACGCCCCTCCTTAGAGGAAGGAAAAAAACACATAAGCATAAACTTTTGGCGCTCCGCGCGGTCCTAGCTCAAACCCTACTAATTGGTTCGTTGCCCCCCCCCCAATTCCTATGCCCGCCCCCTAATTCCTATAGCTATGCCTATGCCTATGCCTATACCTCCCCCTAACTCCTATGCCTACGCCTATGCCTATGCCTATGCCTGCTTGCTTTCTTGCTTGCTTGCTTGCTTGCTTGCTTGCGCGCGCGCTTGCTTGCACGCCTGCTTGCTTGCTGAGTTGCGGATTCCACGCATGCTTGATTCCTCTGATTCCTTGATTTGAGTCGTCTAATCCATTTGGGGTCAACGCTGGCTGATACTCTTCCTCGCCTCCTGGTGCACCGGAAGCCTCTGCCTCGGCCCCGTGCCCCCGCTGTGGGCCAGGGCGCCGTGGCCTTCGCAGGGTGGCGGCCCTCGCGAGGATGGCCTCCCCCCTCCGGGGGGGGCCCGACGCCTCTGCCGGCCCCGGTGCCCCACAGGTGTGGGCCAGAGCGCCGTGGCCCTCCTCATCGTCATGGTCAGCATCGTCATCGTCATCGTCATCGTCGTCATCATCATCATCATCATCATCATCATCATCATCATCATCATCATCATCATCATCATCATCATCATCATCATCATCATCATCATCATCGTCGTCGTCATCGTCATCGTCGTCGTCGTCATCGTCATCGTCATCATCATCATCATCATCATCATCATCATCATCATCATCATCATCATCATCATCATCATCATCATCATCATCATCATCATCATCATCATCGTCGTCGTCGCTGTGTTCGTCGTCACCATGACCACTCGCCCGTCCGAGTCGTGGGTCTGCATGCGAAGGGTATGGCGCGTCACTGCGCCTTTTGAGATTTGCCCACAAATTCCGATGGGCAACTGCACTCTTGGCCTCTCGAGGCGTGCCGTCAACAAGTTGCTGGTAGGAGAATGGGATGTTTGCGGTACAGCTGGTAACAGCGGCGGTTGCGAATGCACACGACCATTCATGATGTCGGTACGCTCTTGTTCCGACCGCAGGGCGGGCCGACAAAGAAACGCGGGCCAGGGACGGAACGGGGACAGGCCGGAAAGCGAGGAGCCGAGGAGCGAGAAAGGGAGGAGGCGAGGGAGGGACGACGACAGGAAAGGACAGACCGGGCCGACGGACCGAGCATGGGAGGTAGTCACGCGCGGACGCTCACTATCCATTGGATCCAGCAGATTGCACCGCATAAAGCGCACACCGAGAATGCAGGAACCCACTGCGTGTGGCCCACGCGGGTAAACATGTGGCTAGCACATACAACTCTGATACGTTTATGGAAGCCGTGCCCTCGCCCGGGTGGCGGGCCCGTGGGCTGAATGGGGAACTTTCCATTGTGAATCATGTTGTGTTGTTTCTCCTCCTCTCGACCGCCAACTACGTATGACAAACTGCGTGGTCAGTCGCATCAGCGCCAATCCGTGCATACAGAACGTGATCCCGTGCAAGGAAGCGCAGAATGGTCGCCTGTTCTCAATACGTAGGCAAACGCGGACAGCGCAGGAGCAAAGTCCTTGCAGGGACTCGGGACGGGAGGGGGCACTGCAGCATCGTGCACGCATCGTGGACTTGCTTCTGTCATCCTGCTCCTGCTTCTCCTCCTCTCCATCCTCCTGCTGGCGATGTCTGGGCGGCCCCGCCTCCAGGGACCGCTCTCTTCCCATCGAGGGAGTAGCCATGGGCGCAGACAAACTCCACCGACCCGTCCGTCTGAGTTTTGCCTCGGCGACGTAGGACTGAGGACGGAGGGAGGAGGAGCTCGGGAGGAGGGAAGGGGCAGGGAGGAGGGAGGCGGGTCTCCACGCCCAGGAAGGGCAAGTGAGAGGAGCGAGTCAGGAGAGGCCCAGGATCTCGAACAAAAACGGAGCGCGCGCCCTTCGGAGGGAAACGCTTTTGGAAGAACAACAAAACTTCATAAACACAGGCTTTGGGAGGTCCGCGCGGAGCGCCAAAAGTTGAAGTGTTTGGCGCTTTTCCTTCTTCGAGAGACGAAAGAGTCAGCGAGACCCAGGATCTCGACCAAAAACGGAGCGCGCGCCCTTCGGAAGGAAACGCTTGGAAGACCAAAAAACGGAATATGCCTAAACTTCTGGAGGTCTGCGCGGATTTCTCGGATCCGCGCTGGGCCACCCTCCCCGGCGCCCGGAGCGCGCCAGGGGCGGCGCAGGCGGCGCCGCCAGGGGGGGCCCAGCGCGGAGCCAAGAAATCCGCGCCGAGCGCCAAAAGTTTACGTCTGTGGCGTTTTCTTGTCTTCTTCGAGTGAGAAGAGAATCAGCGAGGCCCGGGACCTCGACCACAAAAAAGGAGCACGCGCCCTTCGGAGGGAAACCGCCCTGCCGCCCTGGCGGGCGACGGCAACCCGACGGGGTCCCAGCGCCCCAGGGAGGGCTCGGGCCCTCTCCTCGTCAACAGGCCGCGGCGCTGGCAAGCGTCCGCCGGACATCGGCGGCGAGCGAAGGGGGGGAGTGAGAAGCCTCCTCCTCCGCCTCCTCCTCCTCCTCGTCCTCCTCCTCCTCCTCCTTCTCCTCCTCTCGAAACTTCACTCCGCGCCGGGGGGAAGTGAGAAGAAGAAGGCCTTTTCTGGGACGCACGAAGACATACTACGACTATATGTCCTCCTTGGAGGCGCGCGTCCGACCCGGACACATAGTACACCCATCTTGTAGTATATCGTTTCCCGAGCGGTGGCCAGAATGCGCCCGCCACAACGCATATTATACAAGATTTCGGGGTGCGCGCGTCGCCCCTGGAGGAGCGACGCACATATCGTATGGGCATGTTGGGGCGACGCCGATTCTCAAAGGCGGCGGGGCTTCTGCGTCTCTGGGGAAGGCTCAGATAGCTTCTCAGAAGACCACGGGGCTTCTGAGCCTTCTGAGAAGACTTTTCCCTTCTCAATCCCCTCCTGGGCTCGCCGGCGATCGAAGGCACGCTCCCGTCGACGCCTCCCTGCTGGGCCCTGCTCGTCTACAGGCCGAACCTCTCCCCGAATGCACGCCGAACCAACCCTCAGGATATTGACGAGTGCCCAGCTTGAGGGCGGGATTCGGGCGAGTCAGGTGGGAAAGGCTGGACACACGCATCCTCCCCGTGCCCTGAAGAGAGGCTTGCGGGCTCATACACTAGCCGCGGAGGCCTCGATCCCCCCTGGAGGCGGCGGCATAGCCGCCACACACGGGGCCAGCAAGGAGGTCGGGAGCCCTCTTCCGAGGCCACTCGAAATTCCCGCAGGGCGTGGCCGCCCGCACACCTAAGGGTCTGTGCCCGGCCGCATTGCAGCTGGACGGTCCATCCGATAGGGGCGGCATCGGAGCCGCCTCGCAGGGGGGGGCAGAATTGAAGGGGCCCAGGGACACACAAATAAATACACACAAATAACAGGATTCCCCATATCTTCCCATGTTTTCTGGGTTTTTGTCTTCCTCTCCACTTCCCATACTTTCCCATATTTTCTGGGGGATCGACGAATAATTGTGTCTGTGTTTTTCCCTCCTGATCCATGCTGCAGGTGAATACCTGGGAGCAGATCAGCCCCCCGAGGGGGCCTCCAACAACACGATGACCGCCGGGGCCCCGAGGTTGATGTGACTTTCTGGCTCGCCACAGCACGCGCCAGCACGGCGAATGAATTCCAGCGCTGACCTCACCAGCATAAACCTGGAAGCAAAAGAAGGTCCTGATCGGCATGGCGGACAAGGGCAGACCCCCGCTCGGCCAGCCTATCTGCCTGATAGTTGCCATCACGCTCCAAAGCAAACAGCGCAAATTTCCTCGGCTCGTACCTGGAAGCACGCGCTTGCCACTTCTGGGGGAGTCCAGTCCTCCAGGCCGGCACAGGCAAGTAACGACAACTCTTGCGGAGGGCGTCGGACACCGAACACAGGACAGTATGGCTGCCGCTCTGACAAGAACCGCACGATCAGGCAAGGAATGCTCGAGAGGCTGGAAAGGAGGAAAACTGTACACTAAAGTTCGTGCCTGAGCGGTCTGTCTCTGCATGGTCACTTCGCAAAAGTTCGAATGTCCTTGATGTAATCGCAAAGACTGTGAACGTCAACAGCTCATCTGCCCTCACTGACGCCCCCGCCCGCAACCCCACCCAACTACAAATTACTCCGGCATAGCAACCTAACAGCGATGTGTAGAAGCATATCTGAAAGCATTCCCCTTAAGATTCAGATGAAATTCCAGTTGTAGAATTCTGCTGTTCTCGCAGTCGTAGTCGCATTCGCGATGACAGTCGCAGCGGCAACGGCAGTCGCAGTCACAGCCTCAGCCTCAGCCTGCCTCAGCCTCAGCCTCAGCCTGCCTCAGCCTCAGCCTGCCTCAGCCTCAGCCTCAGCCTGCTTCAGCCTCAGCCTCAGTCTGCCTTCAGCCTCGGCCTCAGCCTCAGCCTGCCTCAGCCTCAGCCTGCATCAGCCTCAGCCTCAGCCTCAGCCTGCCTCAGCATCAGCCTGCTTCAGCCTCAGCCTCAGCCTGCCTCAGCCTCAGCCTCAGTCTGCTTCAGCCTCAGCCTCAGTCTGCCTTCAGCCTCGGCCTCAGCCTCAGCCTGCCTCAGCCTCAGCCTGCCTCGGCCGCAGCATCAGCCTGCCTCAGCATTCAAAATGTGGCCCAGGAATGGAGTTCTGGGAACTAGAAGAACACGAAGTGGCCTACAGTTGGCTCCGGGCATTCAAAATCATGCCCAGGAATGGAGTTCTGGGAACTTGAAGAGCACGAAGTGGCCTACAGTTGGCTCCGGGCATCCAAAATGTGGCCCGGGAATGGAGTTCTGGGAAATCGAAGAGCACGAAGTGGCCTACAGTTGGCTCCGGGCATCCAAAATGTGGCCCGGGAATGGAGTTCTGGGAAGTCGAAGAGCACGAAGTGGCCTACAGTTGGCTCCGGGCATCCAAAATGTGGCCCGGGAATGGAGTTCTGGGAAGTCGAAGAGCACGAAGTGGCCTACAGTTGGCTCCGGGCATCCAAAATGTGGCCCGGGAATGGAGTTCTGGGAGCACCAAGAGCGATTTTGCGAGGATGTCCCAAGCGATTTCGGCTTCGGCGGCAGCCGTTCCGGGTCCCGCCCAGACCCCCCTGAGGAGTCATGATGTTCTCTTTTGAGACCACTAGAAACCTATCAGCAAGAGCTGTTAGGTAAAAACTACAAGTGCGCGCGCGCGCGTTTAGAAGAGGGCTGCTCCAGTGCACCACTGTCCCGTCGCTGACCGCGTCGCTGCATGCGTGATTGCGCGCGTCACTGCATGCAGGGCTATCTGATAAGCGCACACCAAACGCAGTGGGATGAACATGCTCGTTGCGCATACGGACTGACACCATGCGCGGGGCTGCCGAACCCGCTTCCTCTCGGCAACGGGCCTGTAGGCATGGCGTGCGAGATGTTCGGCACCTTCCCGCACTTGGATGCCTTCAAGCAGACGCCTCTGGCGGCATGGCATTGCAGAAGGCTTGCGCATAGGCGACCGGCCGAGGGCCTGGAAACCCCAGAAAGCCAGATTTCGCTCGGCACGAGGTTGCCCCTCGCACGTCACGTTTTCCAGCACTCCCGCGCCGGATTCCTGCCACCCGCGGGCCCCTGGGACTCAGACAGGCCCGCCCTCCTCGCCCCGCTCGCCCTCCACTCCTTATGAATAACTTCTCCCTGTCTCACCCCGAGGCAAGTCGGAAAGGCGGGCCCAGCGTTTCGCCTGAGATTGTCTTGCCGCTTATGATCCTGAAGCTCAGAAGTTGGCAACAACTTCACAGATTGAGAGCGGGCGGTCTTCAAAATGTGGCTCTCGCTTGGGAGCGGCGCACATTCGGTTTTAAGACTCCAACGGTTTCACGGATTGAAAGCGGGACGTTTTCAAATGTGGCTCTCGCCTTGGCGCCGCGCACACTATTTCAAACAAAATTGCAATAGTTTCACGGAATCTCATGGTCAACGTACCAGAAATGGCGTTTTGCAACGAGTCCGCATTGTCAGGGCGTGACAGTTACGTTGACTCGCGGTGTTGAAGTCCCAGGAATGGTGTTCTGGTACGATGCAGGATCGTCAAAACGCAACAGCCGGGCTAATTCGTGGCGTTGAAGTCTCGAGAATGGTGTTCTGGCGCGCTTCAGGATCTTGAAGGCGGTGGCCTCCCAACGTAGCACTTCCTCCAGTGGAAATGAACCCTTGTAGAGGCCTGCGAAAAAGGAGCTTGGAGGGAGGGTTGATTCCAACATCGTTGATGAGGGTTCGGTTTGCACTGGTCCCCTCTTCCCCCTCGTCAACCATCCCCCAACACTCTTGCCACTCCTCCACGCCTTTCCCCTCATCCACCCTCCCTCTCTCCCCTTTCGCAAGGCCAACATCCTCCCAAAACCTACAAGTGTTGTTCCCCCCGTCGCGGCGCGGCCGTGGCAATCCGCACGCGCGCGCTCTAGCAGCCCGGGCGAAGCGTACCACTTGTCTGGCACAACGGGGAGGGGCGGGACAGAGGGCGGCCGCAGAGGGCGGGCGAGGGAGGAGTGCACTCACCGCGCGAAGAGCCTCCGCGGGAGTGGCCTGCCCGGCTGGCCACTGCTGAGGCGTCCTGGCAGGAGACGCGGGGCGGCATCGCGCCCACACCTTCGGGGGCTGAGGCAAAGGCTGCAGGCGCTGAAAGCGTAGAAAAAAATCAGACCAGTACGGGGCGAGCGAGCCTGCTGGGGCAGGTGGCATCCAAGCGTTCGACATGAGGCCGCGCGTTACAGGTATTGCTGCGTCACGGGGGCAGCGGGGCGCGGGAAGGACAGCGACCACGGAGGCCAGCCAGGGAGTCGCTCGCAGCAGCAAAATGCTGCTAAACTGCCGCGCTGAGCTGCTGCGGGCCGAGCTGCAAGACTGCTGGCTGCAGCTGCCAGTGAGGGCAGCAGCCGTGAGCTGCTGAGCAGGCCATCTGCAGGGGAGGCGGCGCCGGCGGCAAGGAGCCGCCGTCCGCCGCCAGACACGCCCAGGCAGCGGCAGCCCCGGCGAGGAGCGGGGGGGAAGAGGGCCGAACCCGGCCGGCGCACGCACCACTGCCGGGCGTGGCGGGAACGCCCAGCCACAGGTCTGGCGGGGCGGCGGCGCGAGACGCCCGGCCGCAGAGCCGGCCAGGTGCGGGCGCCCAGTCGAAGGGGGCCGCGGGGCAGGTGACCCAGCAGAGCCAAGCAAGCGCCTCCCAGTGCGCGACGCCAGGGGCTGCCCGGGGCGGCACTGGCAGGACGCGCGGCTGGCTGGAGGCAGCGGCAGGAAGTGCCACCAGAAGCGGCACAGGGGCCCCACCCAGGACCCTCCCGGTCGACGGAGGGAGCTGCGCCAGCAAGGAGCGCAGCGACCCCGCCACTGGACACCAGGCTGTCCTGAACCCCGCACCTGAGCGGCGCACACACTTCTCATGGAAGCACCCACCTGTGGGGGGCGAGCGCTTCAGTCGAGACGCACTAGCGCCAGTGGGAGCGTCCACCTGGGGGGGCGGGCGCTCCAGCGAGAAATGAAGGAGGGCCCACGTGGGGGCGGCGGACGCACCCGAAGGGGAAAGGAAAGGGAGGGCGCGCTCCCCGGGGGGGTGGCGCGCGAAAGGAGGCACCTGATCGGCACGCGCGCGCGAGAGGAGGCCCAGGGGAGCCACCTGGGCGAGCAGGCCCCCTGCGAGCCGTCACGGGCGCCCAAGGGCACTGCCAGGCGAAGCCCGTAGGCCATGCGAGTGCCAAACTTGAGAGCCAGGCGCCTGAGGAAGACTTGGCCAAGTGCGCGACGCCTTGGCCTGTGGCATTCAATCCGTCTGCACGCACGCGGGGGCATCCACGTCCGCGAGGCGCGTCTGCGCAATCTGGGCGCTGCGCAACCAGGCTGCGAGGTAGACTCTTGGGTTACTCCCCGCATGCGGGACTGGTCCCGGGCTGGCAAGGAGGCGCCGCTGGCGCGCTTGCCTCCCTGGCCGTTCCCCCTGCCTGCCCGCGCCTGCCCCTCCTGCTGCTGGCGCCACACGTCGCCCCAGTTGACGTCGATGCGCCGGCGCCGGCAGTGGGCCCGCGCGTCGTAGTAGGAGGCGTACAGGTCGGACAGAAACTGCCTGCAGAATTCGTCGAAGCCGCCAGGGTTGTAGCAACCCTTGCCCCGTGCTTTGCCGTCTCGCACGTCGCAAGCTCGGTTCCAGCCTTCCTCAGACATGACCCCGCAGGTATCCTTGAGGCGATTGATGAGTTCTGGACATGTGCCCAAGCGATCCTCTCTGGAGTCCCACTGCTGGACGTCGCGCCGGGGCACCCAGTAGAGGCTGCCGCATGGGTTGTTCCAATCGCGCCAGCGGTAGGAATGGTCGCTCCCCCAGCCGTGGGCACTCGCGGCTGGTGCGCTGCGCCAGTAGGACGAGTGTCTCCAGACGGCGTCGAGGGAGTCGCCCCCGCCGCCCCTGCCCCAGCTGGACCAGTCAGCAGCACGGTAGTGGACCGAACGCCAGGCAGAGACGTCGCGGGGCGCATGGCCCGCGTCGCTTCCCTGGCTGGTCTTGCCAGTCTTGCCAGTCTGGGTGTCGCCTCCCCTGGGGGTGCCGTCACCGCCTGCGCTGCTGGCGGGGCGGCCGCCGTGAGTGATCCAGGCGAGGTGCGCGCAGTCCGAGACCGTGGCCCACTCGCCTCCTGTCCTGGCGCAGAGTAGCTGTCCTGTTCGGACCTCTTCCACGGGCCCTATCACCGAGCTGGGCGGGAAGTCGGGCCAGAGTCGCTCCGCAGTCTCGTCGGCCTGTGCGTGCCAGCAAGGGGGGCGAGCGCCATCGTCGCCCCTGGCCATTAAGTAGTGGCTCTGGCGTCCCCCGGCTGATCCAGGTTGCTGCCCGCGCCAGCGGTGGCGACGGGGTCAAATCCCAACTGGACGGTCCAAATCCCAACCGGACGGTACAAATCCCAACAAGTCAGAAAACCGGAACGGTCCAGATCCCAATCACCAGACAAAGCTATGTAAAGCTTGTTTCTTGCATGGTCACATTGGCAGTAAAACCAAATGGAATCCCTCAAGAGAACTCACTTGGTTTTCACAGTGCGCAGTTGGGATCTAGACCGTTCCACTGCGTTATTTCATGCGAGTTCGAAATACTCCACGAGGGCCTTAGGCTCAAGGCATTCCAAGACGGCAGTGCCTACGAACGCATACGAAACAAATACGAAACGTGCATCCAATGTATGCGAAACGTATGGGACGCGTACCCGACAGAAGGCAGGAACGCATACGAAACGCTTACCAAACGCACACAAAACGTATACTCTACGTGTATGGCACGACAAAGCCTTGTCTCTGAAACGCATCCAAAATGGCTACGGAACGCACATGGCACTTACATGTGTGTGGTACGTAAATTGAACATACACTACGCGTAAATGAAGCGCAGATAAAACATCTATGAACCGTATACGAATCGCATACGAAACGTAAACCCAACGTGTTGGAAACGACTACACAAACGCACAGGAAACGCAACCGAAACGTATTTATTCAACGTAAACGGGAGTGCTCTGAAACGTACGGAAAAAAAGCATACGCAACGTTTACGGAACGCTTACGCAGAGTATTCGAGACAGGGATTCGGATTCGAACACAGGGAGAAACTAGTAAAGGATTCCTCGGCTGGTTACCTACAATTAACAAAGAGATCCTCCTCCTCCTCCTCCTCCTCCTCCTCCTCCTCCTCCTCCTCCTCCTCCTCCTCCTCCTCCTCCTCCTCCTCCTAAGGACACGACCATTTTACACTCAGGGTAGGGATCAGCCGCTTGCGGCCCTCCGCCCGCGCACTGTAGAGCGGGCATGCAGGGCTGGTGGGAAGGAGGAGACCAGCCTGCCCGAGCCAGCCGGCCTGCGGAGAGGAAGAGGAAGAGAGAGAGAGATGGGAAGAGAGAGGAAGAGAGAGGAAGAGAGAGAGAGAGAGAGCAAACGAGCGGCAGGCCCAAGGAATCCAAGAATTACAGCGGGGGCACTGACTGAACCAAATCCTGCGGGGGGGTGGGATCGAATCATTTCCGATTGAACTGCCATTGACGAAAAAAAAAAAAAAAAAGATGTTGCTGGAGGCTGGGATCGGCGCATTTGTAACTGCATTCCGAATGAAAGAAACGAGTAACTGATTAACTAAGCCTGCGGGATGATGGTGCCGGCGCACTTCCTCTTGGATTCTCGAGTGGGAGAAAAACATAAGACAGCGGAATCCTGCAGCGCTGTGATCGGCGCAGTTCTTTTTGAATCCCGAATGTGGGCAGTGTAACAAGTTATAACATGATGCTGGACTCTGGGATTTGCGCATGTACGAGTTTTTCGCTTCCGATAAAGGAAAAGTTTAAAACATATGAGTTATGCTTGAGGCTGGGGTCCGCGCGCTTCCTCAAACTTCGAACAATAAACAAACAAACGGACCATGTAAAAATTTTGCTGGAGGCTGGGGCCAATGCATTTCATCTTGAATTCCGAGTGGCAGAAAACAAATAGCATATGAAAGAATTATGCTGGAGGCTGGGGTCGGCGCAGTTCCTGTTGGATGGAGAGGCGCAAGCCCAAGCCACGGATACAGCCTCACTGTTCGGAAACTGGATGGGATGGGAGGGAGCCTATCACCCCTGTGCTGGCACTGAAGGGTAAGACGAAGCCAGGACGAAGGTAAAATCGGGTAAAGATAAAACGAGATTCTCTGAGATCTGGCGGTTCATGTCTCGAGCACCGCGGCCTTCTCAGAGCGTTCCAGAATGCTCTGGGATAGTTCCGGAACGCTCTGGAACGGATTTATCCTCGTCCCAGCCCCGTCCGATCGGGCCCGCGATGTCCGCGACAAAGACGAGGGGCCGAGTATGCGTTGCTGCTCCTTGATGATGCTGGTCACTCTCACCCTCTTCTGAGTCCTCTCCCACGGCAGCCTCCAGGCTTGAAGTAGCCAAGCTCGCTACAGTTCGCGGTGAAGGTCCTCTCCCCGTCCTGTACGCACTCACGGGGCCCGTTGTGAAGAGCGGGTTGGGCAAGAGGGACCCGTGCAGGGACGCGTCGCTGCGAATATCAGACAGCAGCGAGCCAGGGGGGCGACCAGGAAGAGCACAAATGCCTCTGCCCCTGCACCTCAAGAATCCCCCCTCCTCCTCCTCATCCTCCGCCTCCTCATCCTCGTCCTCCTCTTCCACATCCCCCTCCTCCTGCTCCCCCCCCCTGCTACTACTCCTGCTCGTCCCGCCCTTCCGCCCCTCTTCCTGGAGCGCGGAAGCAGGCGGCCATCCCACCGCGTCCAACGCCTGAGGCCTTCCCAGCGCCCACCGATCTCCCATCAGGCGCACCCCAGGTGCGACCCCAAGCTCTCGATGGCAACCAGATGCGCGACCACTTCACAACGAATGCTCCGAAGAAGCGTCTTGCCGTCCACCGACTCCTCTGGGATTGCCAGACGCGGGGGGGGGGATCTCTGCAACTGCGCAGCATCACGTCTCATCATCCTGGCAGCGCTGCTCGCAGCCCGCCCGCTGCCTGGCCAGCCTGAGTCCGCTCCGCCTCTGGGCAGGCGCCCAAAGGAGGCGACCCATAATCTACAGAGCACAGCGTCACGCGTCAGCTGGGGCTGCACGAGCGCCAGTGCGAGCTCCGGTCCTGCGCGCCTCGTCGCCTTTCTGTCGGAGCCAGGAGGCTCGTACGATGAGGTCGCTCAGGTTGTACCACCCTGGCACGCAGTGGACATACGGCTCCACCAGATCTCACAGGCAGAGCGAGCTCCTGCCAAGGGCCATGTGGCCATGTGGCACAGGCGCCACAGGGCCAGCGAATAGCTGATAGTACGGCTGGCTGGCTGGAGTCGCCCTCGAGGGCAGCGGTGTGTATCACTGGACTGGCTCCTCGACGCCCACCGTCTCCAAGAACGGGCCCCTGGCCTACAACGAAGCAGTCGAGGCGGCCCTCCAAGGGCACTGCCCCTGTGGCGCGGGTGGCTTAAATGGCGGTCCCGCAGGCACCAGCTGGGAGGCAGCAGCGTGAGCGCGGTCCACCTGCGTGCCCACGCGGGTGAACACTGGGACGTCGCCGCCGGGTACGTCCGCAGCGACATTCCCAGTGCTCACCAGCATATCCAGGTCGGGCAGCGGCTCGGAGGCGGACACGGCGTTCAGCCCCGCCAGCAGCGCGCGCGGATAGAGATAGTCAAAGCCAGGGCACGCACGCGACTCATCGCATGGTGCCGCGAGACGAGCACGCGCATCAATCGGGCAGCCCGTGGCATACGTGCTCTGCGCCGGCTGCCAGCGAACAGACCACACCGCAACCGAAAGTGACCCCTTGAGCACGCGCAGACCCAACCCCGTGTGGGTCTGAATTGCCGCCTCCAGCAACGTGTCTAACGTCCCGCTCGCTGGCCACGACAGCACCGGGTGGCAGCCGCGTCTGTGCCCGCCGGCGCCCAGAGGGCTTCAAAGGGGGTTGGAGAGAAAGGTTTTTCAGATGTGGCACTCTGGGGCCAAAATGAAACATAGAGGCGTCCTGCGTACCACAATTCCCTATGAAGTTGTGCAGTCCGTGTTCGCCCAGTGTCCATCGCACGCATCAGAATGATTGCGATCGGGTCTCGGAGGCCCATCAGACCGATGCAAACGATGTAGCGCAATGATTTGCCACGACATTTCTGGACCGCGACTCGTTCGCTGAAGTGCAAGCCCAATCCCGGCTCTCCCTCACATGCCCCCTGGGGCACCTCCCCTCTCTTTGTTTCTCCGCCCCATTCCGTGTTTCCTTTTGGATGTTGCCTGACAAGAAGAAGCTAGGGCAAGCGTTGATTGACCAGGGGTCCACTGTGAATTACCTGCTCCCTCCGCTGCCTCTCGCTCTAAGATCTCGCCGTGCGTGCCGTCGAAGATCCTGGGAGGGAAACCAGCACCCGTCGATAGGGCAGGTTATCCGAGCCCCTGCAAGAGTCCTGAAACCCTCCGCTGGTACCAGCATCAGCATAAGCAGAACGAAGAGCCGCAAGCAGCAGCAAGAGATCACACAGAGAAGCAGCAAGTAAAGACCAGCAGCAGGGGACACAACAGTCTGCATGAAGCAGCAGGAGGCAACAGCAAGCAAAAGCTGGAACGATGAATATCGCAGGTCCTCCGCGACAGTGTCGCAGGCGGCGCCCACGCCGCCGCCAACTTGCCTCCCTCCCCCTCCTCCTCCTCCTCCTCCTCCTCCTCCCCTTCCTCCTCCTCCTCCTCCTCCTCCTCCTCCCCTCCTCCTCCTCCTCCTCCTCCTCCTCCTCCTCCTCCTCCTCCTCCTCCTCCTCCTCCTCCTCCTCCTCCTCCTCCTCCTCCTACCCCTCCTCCTCCTCGACTTGCAAGCGAGATCATGCGCGCGCAGTCAAATCAGAATTCGCGCCTGCATCAACTTCGTGTACACTGGCCTGTCCTTGAAAATCGAGGCCTGCCCCTGTCGAGCCTCTGGCTTGGTGGCCTCGTGGGGCATCGTGGTTTACCTCTGGCGGCTCTCTGAAGGCCTTCTCGGAGCGTCTTGGGGCCTCTTCCTAGACCAGCTGTCGAGCTCGTCGGAGCTCGTAGCGTCAGTATACGGGCGGCCAGCCTGACGCCTCATCGTCTGCACGGACGGAAGCGCTCGCGCCGACAGCCAATGTGCGAGCGCATTGCATGCTGCTTCCCCCTGGAACAATGCGAGATCAAGCAAAACTCAAAAGGGCTAAAGACAACCGTGTCCATGTAGAAGCAGCACACAAGTCAGTCCAAGCAGTGCACAGCATCAGCCTGAGCAGTGGGGACGGACCAAACAAAGCAGAACTTGGGGATCATCACGATTATGGAACGAAGGCCACGAGGCCCCAAGATCTCTTTCAGGCCGATGTCTGGGAGGTGGTAGGTCCCGCTCCTACAACCTCCTCTGAATTGCGAAGCTCGCGCCATGACTGGACAGCACAAGAAAGCAAGGACGATGCAGAAGGAGTCGAGGGCGACTGCGCGAGGGGAGCCCGCAACGGGGTGGCGTTCAGCTGCCAATTCCGCCACCCGTGCGGGCCCCCCTGAGTCCGCCCCCGCGCTACACACCCCAACAGCTCGGATGGTTCGAAGGACGGATCATATGAGAAAGAAGAGAAATAAAAAGGAGAGCCGATAGCTACAAACAGGGCGCTCGGCACTGAGGGAGCGCTCGCGAGCGCCGGCAGGCCCTCGATCGGCGCGGCAAGAAGGCAAACGCCAAAATCCAACCGACCATCTCTTTTGGGACAAACAGCGCCGGCCGACCACTCTCCCAAGAAGTGGTCGCCAAGCCTTGCGCATCTCCACGGGGTCCCACCCTCCCTCCACCGAATGACAATCCCCCCTCTCCCACCTAAGAACGAACTAGCTTCCGCGTCTCATCACTTCAGCTCGGACGACGAGCCTAGACAGGAAGCGCTCGATGCCTCTCTCGGTGTAAACGTCACTGACCGTCGGCACCACAGAACGGACGCTCCAAAGCGTGGAGGACCAGGATTGCGGCATTGACGTCAAACGAGATATGAAGCACAGCGGAAAGAACTCTGAATGCAGGGCGCAATGGTTGCCAAGAGAGCCTGAGCACGCGGAAGAACTGCAACTGCACGGATGCCCGCACGTCGTGCAAGCGCCAAAATCAAAAAGACCCCACGAAGCTCAGCATTACCATGAAGCACACTTTTCTGGAGCCATGGTGGGAGGGCCTGCTTGCCCAAAATGCCAGTTGGCCCCCTTAACACGGTACTTGTCAGACGCACATCCCCTCAACCAAGGTAGTTTGAATAGCCCCGAAGGATATGAAACTCGCAGTCCGTAAGTTGAGTATGTGTCTGAGACCTTCACCAAATACGCAACTGAGACTTGGTAAGACTGCCACGGAACCAGAAATCTGCCGTTCTTCGCCGTCAGCGCCCCCACCAACTATTCGAACATGCTCCTGAACCTTCTTATAAAGCTGGACCCACTTAGAGATTTGATCAACTTGAGTTGCGAGGACACAAATGCAAACAATCGTAGTTGAGGCACTAGAAACAATAGGTGGAACATTCACGTCGCACTCCCGAACCGCAATCGTTAAATCAACGAAAATCGCTGCAGGGCGCGAGCAAGGTTCCCCCCGTCTTCCCCAATGACGCACACCACCTGGCCCCTCCCCAACGTCGGGCCTCTTCGCGCGGCGGAAAACTTTAAGGCGATGATATCCCTCGCGCGCTCCTTCCTGTTCGCCTGCCACGCCCACCTCCCTCAACTCCAAAGCGCGTTCGCGATCGAGCATTACCCAGTTATGCTGGATCCTATATACGCAAGCGTGGCCCACCCTGAGTAGGTGCTTGACCAGTGGGGACCGATCGCCGAAGGTGCTTCCACACGCTGGACATAGACCCCGAAGATGCCAAGTGAGCGCGGCCCATGGGATCCTACCAAAGCCGATGTCGACGGAGTGCTGCTGCATCCTGAAATGCACTGCCACATGCGTAACAGAGATATCGGGTAACTCGGGTAACAGGACCTGCTGACTGACCAGCGATGGACTTCACGAGACGACTCCAAGTGTCTGCGCGTCGTTCGCGAAGCTCACGCTCGACCCAATTCCGCCATACCCGCTTCACTCGGGCGCGGTAATGTCTGGGAGACTCGGATGCATGCTCGAACCAACCACGCAAAGTCCAGTCCCGCCCGTCTGCTTGAGAGTCATTGCGCTCAAACCATCGAGACTCATCCAAGAGCAGCATGAGCCACGACCCGTCAACCTGCCGGAGGAGATCCACCCGGAGAAAGGCACGGCAGGCGCCTGAATGAAGAGCGAACCGAACTATTAAAGCCGACCAAGTCGAATGACTGCTTGGATCGGTAGCCCGTCTGCGCTGCGAACGGCCTAGGATGACCCAGTAGGCACTCAACCGATGGGGCCCCCATGGCTTGAAGCTGAGGGTTCGAGAAGTGCTGCCAGACCTCGGTTAGGTAGAAGAGGTCAACATTCGC